GGATAGCTTCAAAGCGCTCCTAGCTTCATTCATTCACCAGAGCTGAGAAATGTGTTAACATCATGAATTTTGCACTGAAGTCTGGAGAACAAGCAAACTGAGATCTTAACGCTGCTTCAAAACATGACTTCTATGATTAGATGAGATTAGATTCATTCATTGGCTTGGCCTTCTGTTTAATGTAGAGGTAACAAATGCTTTTGAATTGTGGTGCTGGAGGAGGCTCTTGATAGTCCCCTGGACTGCAAGGAGAACAAACCTATCTGTTGTGAAGGAAATCAACCCCGGGTGCTCCCTGGAAGGACAGATCCTGAAGGTGAGGCTCCAGTACATTGGCCATCTCATGAGAAGAGAAGACTCCCTGGAAAAGACCCTGATGTTGGGAAAGAGCGAAGGCAGGAGGAGAAGGGGACGACAGAGGACGAGATGGTTGGACAGTGTCATTGAAGCGACCAACATGACTTTGACCCAACTCCAGGAGGCAGTGGAAGACAGGAGGGCCTGGCATGCTCTGGTCCATGGGGTCACGAAGAGTCTTAACGACTAAACAACAACAAACAATTTCGACCTTAATACTTTAAATGTGATGTATGATTTCCATGCTCTGCTAAAAACCTAATCAGAAGTTTGTGGTTTTTTTTGGACTTATATAGCGCCCCATAGCGCTACAAGCACTCTCCGGGCGGTTTACAATTTCATTATACAGGCTACACATTGCCCCCCCAGCAAGCTGGGTACTCATTTTACCGACCTCGGAAGGATGGAAGGCTGAGTCACCCTTGAGCCGGCTACCTGGGATTTGAACCCCAGGTCGTGAGCACAGTTTTAGCTGCAGTACAGCGTTTTAACCACTGCGCCACGAGTTGTATTCTGAACATATTTTATTCCATTTCTTATTCTTTCTCCGCCTTGAGAATTATCGTCAATGTCTTTATTAGGAATTATTCATTCATTCATTCATTCATTCATTCATTCATTCATTCATTCATTCATTCATTCATTCATTCATTCATTTATAATTTTTTTTTATTTAGATTTCTACCCCACCCATCTAGACCAAAGGTCTACAATGACTAATGATAGTAATTGTGTGCTGTCAAGTTGATTTCAACATAGGGCAACCCTTTTCAGAGTGTTTTTTTTTTTAAAAAAAAATATGGAGTATTCAGAAGTAGCTTACCATTCCATTCTTGTGCGGAATGTCCTGGGACTCTGCAGCTTGCCCAAGGCTACCCAGGCCGGCTCTTCTCCCAGGTGGCACAGTGGGGGAATTGAACTCCCAACCTCTGACTCCACAGCCACAGACCTAAACCACTGAGCTATCCAGCCCATTCTTTAATAGGAGGTTCAACCAAAATGTCCCAAAACAGTCCATAAGTGTTGTGAGTTCTCCAGAATTATTTATCATGTTGGTTTGCAACAATAGTTTGATGTTAAACCCCAATGTTAAAAAGATACACATTGCCAACACTATTTTTTGTTCTTTTGCATTGAAGGAGCCTCCCACAACTTTGGCAAATCCATCATTTCGGCACCTTCTCCAGCTCAATAATTTAGAAAGGCCTACAGTGATCTCTGAATATTTGTTCCCAAATTTCACTAATTGGAACGGCCTGGCCTAAACATGAAACAGGCAAAAAAAGAGCTTTTTTTAAATTAAAGAATAAAACCCATTTTTTAAAAAAATCTTGAGAGTTGACTCTCTTTTACTTGAGGGTTTTATCAGATATTTCTGGTGTTGCTTGGTTTTTCCTTTCTGCATTGCTGTGCTACTAGGAAGATGATAGTTCCAGCTAGCAATCTATATGTTCTCCCTCAATGTGTTTTTTTTCCAGAATGGGAAGGAAAAAGAAGAAAGAATTAGTGGGAAAATTATGTTTCCTTTAATGAAAAAGAGCAGTTGCATACAGTAGAAGCCACATCTGAAAACATCACAAATGTTTCAATGTAAGAGCCTAATCATACAGACAATTTGAGTTATTTCTTTTTCCTCCTTTTTTTATATTGATACATTTGTTTGTATAGTTATATGGTATATCTATTGCTGGGCAGTTCACGTGGCTGTCTGTTCGATCAGTAAATTTCTTGCTATTTGTACTGGTTTTGCAGGCTACGCGTGCCATCTCATGTAAATCGATTCATCTTCTGTTCTCTTTCTGGGTCCCCGCTACCCTAAAAATTTCTTTCTTTTTCCTTTTTTAATTCATGGTACATCGCTAAAGCTACGTACACATGCTGTTTTCCTGTTACTTCCAATGGTTAGTCGACGTGCCAACTTGTGGGATATGTCACTAGATAAATGTAGAGGCAGCATTAAAAAGGATAAATTGTTGAAAAGCTAGCGGGGGAAATCAACTAGGAGCAACACAAAAGTGGGGAGGATGGGTAAAATAGACGTTAGCTAAGTGTTACATCGGTAAACTGTTGTGGAGAAAATATGTAAAAGAAAAAAAAGGAAGTGATTCATTGCTAAGCATTTTTTAAAAAAAATTTAAAAAGAGGGAATGGGTGCAGTGACCATGCAGTGGCCCCTAAAACCCAACCAATTTGCAAAGTAAATAAATTGAAAGCAATGTCCACACCATTGAAACAATAAGGACTGTAGTGATACAGAGATCAGGTCGTTTTAAAAAAGCCATGCCGGCGAGCTGGAAAAAAAACCTGATTGGCTGAACAAATGAATCTAAGTTACCCATACATTTTAAAATGATTTAAATGATGGCAGAATTGATGTCACTGGGATTCCTTCAGCACATGTGACTGCACCCTAAGTCTTTGAATGCACTGCCAAGCCTCATTCATGTGATTTTATGATAGTCATTGCCTTCTGTTTAGAACCCTCTCAGTTTTCCCCAAGTGCTTTTTTCTCTTTTCTTCTTACCAGGGAATATCCTTTAAGGAGCAAAAGGCAAGATGGCGGCACCATGACTCTGGATTCGTGACACTACGAATCTACCTGGAAGCAGGCTCGGGGTGTGCAAAGCATAGGGACGGGTCATAGGGTACCTTCCTATACCCAGTTACCCTGGAGTGAGACTCCTTGATTTCAACAAGACTTGCTTCTGAAGAGACATGTCTCGATGTATTTTCAAAGGCTTTCACGGCTGGGATCCGATGGTGGTTGTCGGTTATTCGGGCTGTTTGGCCGTGTTCTGCAGGACATGTCTCGGATGGCACTGTTCATTTCTTGATCAGATTTTATTTTATTTATGCTGTGTGTCTTATTGTTAGTGTTACATACATACATTTTATTATTACGGCATCGAGCCATACAAAATTGAATACATAACTTCATAGACAGGCATGTACTACAAAGCCATACAAGAGGTAAAAATAAAGGATAAAAAAAGGGTAAAAAGCTAAAAGGATAAAAGGTAAAACTGCTAGAAGATAAAAGGTAAACTGTTGAGGAGAGTGGCATATATAGTCATACAAAAGGTAAAATGTCTACAAACAACTAAGAATGTCTGAAGCAGCAAATATAGCGATGTATGGCCAATACTCTGGTTTCTCTTCAGATCGTATTGTTAGTGTTATATTTTGTATCTGCTTTATGGTGTTTTGACTGTTAACTGCCCCAAGTAGTACCCAGCAGTCAAAGAAAAATTCAGAACTCTGCAACATTTCCTCCTTCTCCGTTACTTCTTCCTTCGACTTTGCCTCCTCTTCTCTGTTTCCTTGTTGTTCTCTACCTGCATCTCCTTCTTCTTCGCCTCCTCCTCTTCCTTTTCTGCCATCTTCTTTCTCTCCTTCTCCTTGTTCTCCTTCTGCCTCTTCTTCCTCCTCTCTTTCCTCCTCATTCCCTACCTGCATCTGTACTTTCTTCTCTGCCTCCTCCTCGCAATTCATGTGGCTTGGTAATGAATGTGCTTTTCAAGGACAGGTCTCCCTCCTTCCGGGGTCCACACCTGAAGGGTGATGCCATCTTGCCCCAGGGAGGAGTGTTTCACGGACTGTCCAACCTGAGAATGGTGAATCCCAAAAGGTCAATCTCAGGTCCGTCAGCCCATGAGACGCTTGCTCCAGATCTCCGGACTCTACACCGACATGCACCCACATGCCCCTCGCAGTGGACGACAGGTGGCTGAATCCATCACCCTACCCCAGGTGAGATTATTTCAGACTTTTGTGTAGGTCTGACCACATGTGAACAGCCTAGCACCCACCCTTTCTTCATGCTGCATCTCCATTCTGACTAATCTGGAGTGGGCTGGAGTGGATTAAAAAGAGTCCTTTATCAAAACTCATCCACTTCATGGACACCAACCCTCTTGCTCAGCCATTCTCTCTCTCTCTCTCTCTCTTTTTTTTTTTTTGGCCACGGCCCTCAACATAAAAAGAAAGAAAGAAAGGCCGAACCACAAATCTATAAGTTGCATAATGAACCTTATAGGGTGGTGGGTATGGAATTGTTTCCAATTTGTGGCCCCTTTCAAATAGTCCAGGGCCTCCCCCCCCCAGGGCGCCCTATGGCCCCATTGAGAAGGGTTTGCGATGATGGCTAAAATTGAGGAAGAGTTTTATGCACACATCTCAGTATTCAACCAGAAAAGGCGAGGCTAAATCTATGGATAGCAAAAGAAAAAGAAGAAAACTTGGAGGGACGCTGAAGAGTGCCCCCCCCAACCAGGACAACAATACTACTTATGCACCTCTGTAAAGGTAAAGCGTGCTGCTTATATACTGCCCCATAGCACTTAAAGCACTCTCTGGGTGGTTTACAAGTTATTTATGCAAGCTACACATAGTCCCCGCCCCCAAAACAAGCTGGGTACTCATTCTACCGACCTCGGGAGGATGGAAGGCTGAGTCAACCTTGAGCCGGCTACCTGGGATTTGAACCCTGGGTCGTGAACACAGTTTTGGCTGCAGGACAGCGGTTGAACCGCTGCACTGTGAGGAGAGGCAGGATCTGTCCTCGGTCATCCCAGGGAGCAGGACATGTCATAATGAGCTCAACTTACAGGAAGCCAGATTTCTGTTGACTGTTAGAGCAGTACAACAACAGAGCCCATGACATCGGGAGGTGGTGAGCGCTCCAACCCTGAAGGCATTCAAAATAGGGCCACCCTCCGTCAGAGCTGATCGACGTGGCTTCCTCCCTTGAGCAAGGGGTTTGACTCGATGGCCTGATAGACCCCCTTCCAATGCCACGATTGTAGGATTCTATAATACAAATGCTTACACGAACTGCAGGGGTATTTTTGTACAAAGAGGTGTGCTATTAAGAGCGTGCACACACATACACACACACACACACAGAGTATACGGCAGCCTGCAGTGGTAAAGAGAGAAGTGGAGTACAGATGCTTGAAGAAAACAAATCTTCTCCCCTTGTCAGAGACAACATTGACAAGGATGCTTCAGTTTCACCGCTTGATGGAAGAGCACCCGTCGCAACTGCCAGCCCTAGAATGCCAGGATCCTGGCAGAAGCGCTTGAGATGTGACAACTTTAATTGGCATTCTCGATGACCTGTGGGAGCCGTAAACATGTGTTTGCAGGAAACGCGTAGGTAAGTCAGTGAGGAGAGGCGGCGGAGATGCCCTTGAGTGAATCTGGAGGTGTTTGTTTTTCAGTTTTGTTCATGTTTCAGAGACTCCTTCAACACGCTGCTTAGGGTTCGCTCCATTCATTCAAAAGTGACGAGCGATATGCTTAAATACGCAGGAGCCTGGAAATTAATTAATCCCTAACGGGTTCTGCCGTGCTTGTACTGTGGCAGCCAACGTCTCATCCAAGGGAGAGGGAAAAGATTGGGGAAATGGGGAAGGATCCCAACCAAAGACGTTGCCATCTGCCCAACGTCATGAGTTGTCGCTGTTTTTGGAAGTCACCGAAACTTCCAAACGACATCACTCTCTGCCCAGCGAGTTCCATCCAGCACCCCTTGATCATCATCTTTCCTCACTTCTTATCTGTCCAAAGGTTTGTTGGTTGGAGTGTTGATGCCTGTTTCTTAAAATCTGCCATGCTCTCTGCTTTTAGAAGTTTTAATTGTTCTGCCCATGGTTGTTTACTTTTTGATGGATGCTGTTCTTAGATTCCACATCCTTAGTCACCATGGGTGGAAGTCCAGGCTATACTGGGACATGAATATATAAATAAATAGGCATAAAGAAATAAAATGAATATAAACCTTTTATTTCCAAACTGGGATTGTCCCAGGACAAGTGGGTCCTAGATCAAATCAAGCCTGAACTCTTTATGGAGGCACACATGTTGAAACTGAGGCTGTCCTACCTTGGGCACATCATGAGAAGGCAGGATTCTCTGGAAAAAAACACAATCGTGCTGGGAAAGGTGGAAGGCAGCAGGAAAAGAGGAAGACCACATATGAGATGGGTTGATTCCCCAAAGGAAGCCACAGGCTTGAGTCTGCAAGAGCTTATCAGGGCAGCTGGGGACATGACATTTTGGGGTGTGCTCATCCATGGCGTCACCATAAGTAAGGGGTGACCTGGTAGCACATAATAACAACAACAAAATATGGAAATAGAGGGGTGCAACCAGAACAGCCAGCACACAGACACACACACAAAATGCACAACGCATGGACAATCTGGTGTACCTGTGGTGGGTGCGTATGTGTGCCCACCCACCCTTATCAATGAACACATGTCTTTATAATCCAGCATCGGAGCAAAGCAGAGGGTAAAGCACCCGCATCGGAACTCATGAAACTTCTTGTTGCACAAGGTTTACGAGATGCAGCATTAACATCCATGAGGAGGGCGATACCCCTCCAGTGAAGGACACATCCCAGCAACTGCAACTATATGGGGAGTCAGGAATCTATAGGGAGAGAAGGAAGAAGCTGCCATCAAGATACCAGCCCCCCCCCCCTTTTGGCACATCAGGATTCTCTGGAAAAGACCATGGAATCTATAGGGAGAGAAGGAAGAAGCTGTCATCAAGATACCAGCCCCCCCCCTTTTGGCACATCAGGGTTCTCTGGAAAAGACATCAGGCTGGGAAAGATGGACAGCAGCAGGAAAAGAGGAAGACCCCATGCGAGATGGGCTGAATCCCTAAAGGAAACCACAAGCTTGAGTCTGCAAAAGCTGAGCAGGACTGTTAAGGAGAGGACCTTTGGGAGATCACTCACACCGTTGGAGATGATGTGATGGCAAGCAGCAACAAGAGCAGCCAAACGTGTATCTAGAAAGCCCCCTCTATCACCAAAGTATCCAAACGTGTGGGTATCCAGCATCTCATGGAAACGATTTGTCTGCCTCTAGAAGCTGTGATTTTCCATATTCGTAGGACAGGCGTGGGACGCTGCTTTTAATCCACACATTCCACAATGTGCCCTCAAGTCGCCTCCAACTCATGATGACCCTTTGAATGAGGGGCCTCAAATTTGTCCTATCCTGAACAGCCCTGCTCAGCTCTTGTGGCTTCCTTATGGGGGCAATCCATCTCATATTCCATCTTCCTCTCTTCCTGCTGCCTTCCATTTTTCCTAGAACCATTGCCTCTTCCAGCGAGTCGCGTCTTCTCGTGATGCGCCCCAAATAGAACAGTCTCGGTTTCATCTCTCCCCCCCCCCCACGTGTTCAGGCTTAATTCGATATTTAGGACCAATATAGGTGCCTTTCTGGGGTACCGACAAAGCTCTTCTCCAGCACCAGCAGAGTACAGTAGACGTCTGTGCAAACACCAGACGTACACAACGAAAACATGACGTTATGAAAATGTAATGCTGAGGAGAACATCTTTAACGTAGAATAATCTCATGTTCAGGGAGGGAAAAGGAGAAACACAAGCCAATGAATCATCACTAACAACTACAGTATACCTTAAAACCAAATAAGCATTCAATTAGGATTTTGACACCATTCTATGAGAAAAGAACACCATGCACTCATCTGGTGCTTTAGAGGAATCTGAAACGGTTCGAAATGGGGCACCCCAGCCTTATTGTCTCTTAAAACTTAGTAGATCGTGATGATTAAAGGAAAGAGGTGGAACTGGAATACTTACCGTCATCCCGTTGAAGCAGGGGTGAGGAGCCACCACCCCACGGGCCCAAGGCAGCCCCTGGAGTTTCTCCATCTGACCCCAGGTTCCTGCTCCTCACCCCCAAGCAACTTGACCTTCAGACGTTTGGGTGGATTTTGGACCCCTTGTGTATGGGACATCACCAAGAAGCACCAGCCAGCACCCATCTTCATGATGCGAGAAGCAGAAAGGAATGTAACTTTTAACACACCATCTACAGAGGGGTATTTTTTATTTTTAGTTTTTTGCCACTGTTTTCTTCCTAAGAGTATAAACTCCAGGTTTTGCCTTGTATGCTCTCTGTGGGAAAGAATTAAGGAGGCTGTTGTATATGTCATTCTGGCACAGCCTAGCTGACCCTTAACCTGTTGCTGATACAGCAGTGAGGGCAAGAAAGGTTTGGCTTTTCAGCCATTTTCAACAATAACTCCCATAATCTCCATCCACTACGGCCAGTGGTATGGGTTTGTGGCAGTAGTAGGCTCATCCCTAGGATAGGGGAAAGAGCCGTCCTCCCAAATCCCCCAACACATGGTGCTGTTTTATGCCCTATCCATGCCACTGGTCCATCTTTAACAGCCACCGCCAAGTGTTTCTCTCCCCCCCCCCCCCGCAAGATGTCTGTTGCAGAGTTTTGAATTTTTTGGTTGAATTCCTTTAGCTGCAGAGCAGAAGTGCATGGATGCACAGGGCAGAATCATTTCGAATTCGCCAGAGTAATCCACCTCTTTTCTCAATAACTGGCACTTACAGTCTCAGTCACGGACACTAGTAGGAGAAAGAATCACATGTTTCATTTACTTACAATTGAACGAATCAAGCAGCAAATTGACAAACATGACTGCTTTCAGCCACAGACTTCAACAGACTCCAGTGAGGGGGAAAGGCAACTGAGCAGAGGAGCAGGGCTCTCTTTGAATTCAGAGGCAGGGAAGGAAAGAAAGATTGGATCGCACTGGACAGATTGGCTGTCACCCCATCGTTCCCAGGCACACCTTCTCCAGCCAGCATGCAAGGGTATAAACAGTCCAAGACTGTGTTGGTCTACAGGGCCCATAAGCTACAGCCACCAGGTCCAAAGACCTTCTGGATGAGAAAGATGGGAGCTGTAGTCCATCAGGCTTGTTAGGTGCTGGATCGTACAAAGGAAGTCACCGATTTTCTCAGGAGCCCCACATTCTTTGTGACATATGGCAGTGGCTTTCCCACAAGTGTGTTGTGAATTGTGGCTTAGGTTGCACACAATTTAGACTGGGAGGGGGGCAGAAAGAGAGCAAGGGAGAGAGAGAGAGAGGTCTCCTTCACCCTCCACTTGTTTTTAGGGCTGTCATGGAGAAAGAGAATCGGATGAGGGATGAGTCGCCGCTGCTCGAGGTCTTTGTGACTCAGACAAAAGAGAACGGAGAAGATTTTTGGCAGTTTTCAAGCCAGAGTTTCTGAGAAGACCCGAGAGAATGGAAGTGCCCGGAAGGGGGAGAATCCTAAAATAGATTCGGGTGCGTTGTAGCTGCGCAAAGCAAATCAAACACCCACATCTAGGTTACAGCTGGTTATAGGAAGATACAGACACTTCCCATTGAAAAGAATTCTGAAACCTTTTTGGCAACAGGAAACGGCCCCGTTGCCCTCCAGGCGTCCGGGAAGAAAGAACACCGGCTGGCTTTTATAAAGGCTGGAGGGGGAGGGGGGAAGGGGACAGCCGGATAATTGGGGGCTGGGACACATTTTGGGCACAGACGAAATAGGGCAGAAAGTACAACTCTGAACTGATGGTATTGGATGACAAGAAGCTCCAGTCCATGAAAACTCATGTTATAATCCATGTGTTCGTTTTTAAGGTAGAACTCCTGCAATGGACTGTCGCAGTCCTGAGAAAAGGACCTTCCTTACTCATACAGTAACTCTCCTTTATTGCTGTTGCTGGTCAAGCATATCTGACCTGTTTCTGGGTCTCAGAACCATCTGCAATCCTGGTGGACTCAGATATGAAAGAAGGCAGTTAGAAGCTGCTAATTACCAGGTGATGCCTTTGGTATGTCTACCCTGCTGTTGTCTACAGATTTGGTGCTCCCAAAAGATGCTGGACTGCAATGTCCATCTACAACAGGTTGGGGAACTGAGTGAAATTAAACAGAATTCAGTTCAGCATGGAGAAATGGAAGGCTCCACATTGAGGCAGGAAAAACCAGATGCACAAATCTAAGGTGGGTGGGGTGACTACTGGCTTGACAGTAGTAGTGGTCTTAGTAGACCACAAGTGAATCGTGACGGAACAGTTTGATTCATCAGTCAAAAGAAGCCAATATAATATTAGAATAGCTGGATAGCTCAGTGCTTTAGGCATCTGGCTGAGGTGCCAGAGTCTGAGAGTTTGATTCCCCACTGGGCCTGCGTGACAGGCCTGGACTTCATGACCCGAGTCTGAGAGTTTGATTCCCCACTGGGCCTGGACTTCATGACCGATAGGATCCCCTTTCAGCTCTGCAGTTCTAAGGTCAGAAGTTTGGCCTTGGAGTTCAGAACGAAGCAGGGCAAAGGCTAATAGAGTTCTGTCAAGAGAACAAGCTGGTCATCACAAACACTCTTTTCCAACAACACAAGAGGCGACTCTATACATGGAAATCACCAGATGGGCAACATCGAAATCAGATTGACTATATTCTCTGCAGCCAAAGATGGAGAAGCTCTATACAGTCAGCAAAAACAAGACCTGGAGCTGACTGCGGCTCTGATCATCAGCTTCTCATAGCAAAATTCAAGCTTAGACTGAAGAGAGTAAGAAAAACCACTGGGCTACTCAGGTATAATCTAAACCAAATCCCCTATGAATACACAGTGGAAGTAAAGAACAGATTTAAGGAACTAGATTTCGTGGACAGAGTGCCTGAAGAACTTTGGATAGAGGCTCGTAACATTGTCCAGGAGGCAGCAACAAAAACCATCTCAAAGAAAAGGAAATGCAAGAAAGCAAAGTGGCTGTCCAACGAGGCCTTAGAAATAGCAGAGAGGAGAAGGGAAGCAAAATGCAAGGGAGATAGGGAAAGTTACAGAAACTTGAATGCAGACTTCCAAAGAATAGCAAGGAGAGACAAGAGGGCCTTCTTAAATGAACAATGCAAAGAAATAGAAGTAAATAACAGAAAAGGAAAAACGAGAGATCTGTTCAGGAAAATTGGACATATTAGAGGAACATTTTGTGCAAAGATGGACATGATAAAGGACAGAAATGGGAGGGACCTTACAGAAGCAGAAAACATCAAGAAGAGGTGGCAAGAATACACAGAGGAATTATATCAGAAAGATTTGGATATCCCGGACAACCCAGACAATGTAGTTGCTGAACTTGAGCCAGACATCCTGGAGAGCGAAGTCAAGTGGGCCTTAGAAAGCCTGGCTAACAACAAGGCCAGTGGAGGTGATGGCATTCCAGTGGAACTACTTAAAATCTTGAAAGATGATGCTGTTAAGGTGCTACATTCAATATGGCAGCAAGTTTGGAAAACTCAACAGTGGCCAGAGGAATGGAAAAGATCAGTCTACATCCCAATCCCAAAGAAAGGCAGTGCCAAAGAATGCTCCAACTACCGTACAATTGCACTCATTTCACACGCTAGCAAGGTTATGCTCAAAATCCTCCAAGGGAGGCTTCAGCAGTATGTGGACCGAGAACTCCCAGAAGTACAAGCTGGATTTCGAAGGGGCAGAGGAACTAGAGACCAAATTGCTAACATGCGCTGGATCATGGAGAAAGCCAGAGAGTTCCAGAAAAATATCTACTTCTGCTTCATTGACTATGCAGAAGCCTTTGACTGTGTGGACCACAGCAAACTATGGCAAGTTCTTAACGAAATGGGAGTGCCTGACCACCTTATCTATCTCCTGAGAAACCTATACGTGGGACAGGAAGCAACAGTTAGAACTGGATATGGAAACACTGATTGGTTCAAAATCCTTTTCCGGCTCTCCTTGAGGCGAGCCTATGTTGGAAAGATTTCTGGAAATGGCAGCAAATCCAGAAGGCAACAGAAAGAACACCGGTGACCGTTATGTACAGGGTTTTATACGTGACGTGATGGCTGCACTGGTCCCCAGTTCATTTCTGGACACAGTCCAATGTAGATGCCTTAATTCCAAGTGTGACAACCCCAGACCTACTGGAGTATGCCACCCTTTAGTTATGCTGCCACCAACCATTCCCTATAAGAAGTCACACAGACCAGGAATGGATTTTACTAAACAAAAGAACAAGGTTTATTGAAATA